TGTCCGGTCGCGGTCTATACCGGCCTATATAGGGCTATATAGGGACTCAGATAGTTCCAGGATCTTCTACTGTAGAAATATCTAGAATGTTCGAGTACATATTAGTTCCGATTGACTAGGTGTCGATAGTTCTAGAAAGTTCTTTCATGGAAATTTCTAGAAGGATCTCGACACTCCTAGTTCTGCCACTCGATACAGGAGGGCGCTAATGGTAACTAGTGGTGCCATTTATCTGGTACTAATGGTGAGCTCTCAACTTCTTAATACACAACACCCAGAGTTATGATTTGCTCCTTTAATTGTGTTGTAAATGGCAAAGTTTACTCTTATGCCAAAGTTGCCCTCCTATTTTTAAATATTTCATAAAAACCTGAAAATATGTGTCAGGGTTGTCAAGAATCCTTGATTAAGTACTCAACTTAATTTTCTTTATTTAAATCTTATCTCAATAATTTCTTAAGCAAAAACAAAATAAAATTTAAAACATATTAATTATTTTTATGAAATAAAAAATTAATTGAAATTCGTGAATTAATCTTATAATTATCTTTAATCAATTATAGTATAGATAAAAAAGATAATTTTTTATTTTTATTAGTGATCATCATCATTTTATTACCGGTCGCAATAAAATGATAGGTCATAATTATTAAAATCAATCTAAATATTGTTTTTACACAATAAACATTAATAATCATTAAAAATTACAGTTTTTTTTGGGTGCAAATTAATATCAATACACTAAGTTTTAATTATGAAAAATACTGAGTAGAAATAATACTATTAATGCAACGCAGTAAAAATAATATAGATTTCTCTTTTATTTTCCTTCTCTTTTGATAAAGATGAATTGATTTACGACTCATTTGGTAAAATCGATCTAATGGACTGCCGTGATGAAACATCGATACAAACATACAATATAGAATGTCAAGTCTAGAACACTTTGTTTAAATAGTCGTAATCGGTTAAAAATATAGGTTGAAAGTGATAACCAGTAGTTGTAGCAAAACATGGTAAAATAAACGTCACATCGTGGTATCACTAGCATGGTAACTTTGCCAAGTAAGTTTTATAGATAAATGTTAAGACTAATATGTAAAAAACGATATATTATATTTGATAACCTTTAATATTACGTTGATAAAAGGTTATGGATATCTACATTCAGTATTTCAAACAAAATCAACAAAAGTTCTGGAACACTGAAAAAAGAGGTTATTTCGCCGGCACAATTCCGCGTTATAATAAAATGCCAAAATTAACTCTCATGTTGCAATATCGAAAGAAATTCTGTCAATTAGTTATTGCATTTTCATCCAAAAAATGGCATACCTCGAAAAACGTTATGTTGTCCGTGTTAATCGTAATTTTGAACCAGTACACTACTGATGGCAAAATTACCTTCCATTGGTAAAGTTGCCAGACTTGACTGTACCAGATTTTTTAGTATAAAACTAAAGTGACGAACGAATTCATAGTTCACCCATAAGTGGCTATTGCAATATATGAAAACCTGCAGCTAACTTTAATCAAAAGGCTAAAGATACGTTGTCACCTCTGAGGATTAAGATTTAATCTTTTCAACGTACTTATAACAGACTAGCGGTTCCCCGTGACTTCGCCCGCATTTATTACGATTGGATTTCATGGGTTTTAATTTTTCTGCATGGGAAACCTTACTTCTTTAAAATAATAGTAGCCTAAGTTACTCCTTATAACATCAGCTATCTGTCAATTAATCGGTTTAGTCAGACAGACAGGCAAAAATTTAAAAAATAGATTTTTGTTATAAGTACTCTATATACATTTGTATGCATTTAATAAAAAGCTGTTATTTGACATAAATATGTTGTAGTAGGGCTATGTCAAAGGGTATTTGTCAGCTGTGGATATCCTCGTTATAGGGTTTTATATATGGTAGAGCTACGCCGGAGCATATCATGGATGCAACCTGAATGGGTCGGCGTCACCGGGAAAAAAGAACGCTCGCACAGATCATCAATGTGAAATACCAGCATAATGCCGCTGTGTTTTGTACGGTGAGTGACAAGAGCTGGAGATCCTTCTTACTAATACCGAGGCATCCCGTCTTAATCCTATTTTGATTATTAATTAAAGATAGATAAAGGTGTCTAAGGACCATAGAGTTCTTTTATCATCCGCGTAATGTGTGCTCGTTTGTCACCCTTACTGTCTAAAATTAAAACTTTTAATCATGCAGAAATATCTCAAGCATGACGCTCCCTATAGTCAGCTTAGAAATTTTGAGGTATGTCAATGTAAATTTAAATTCTATCTAAATGTAAATGCGTGTACAAAGAATTTTACATTTCATAAAATATGATCAAAAGATATTGTAAAATATTTTAAAACTTTTGATATTAAGAAAACTGCAGAGCTCTGGGGGATTTCCTTTTAAGTTATTGCCTATATAGTTGAGGTGCGATTATATCTGTCTATAATAGATATAATCGCACCTCAACTAGTCATTATTTTTAATACTAGTATCGTAACTGATGTTTTTCCTGATTTACTGAAGCATAGTAAAATAATACCTTTATTTAAATCTGATAGTATCTAGTAGATCAAATATATATATTTCCCAATGTAAACAATTTACTTCATAAAAATCAATTTGGCAATATCAGCATCAGTTGTCGAGCTAATTAAATATATGTTTAGTGCATTGAAGAATTCACAGGATGCTTTGGGTATATTCTGTGACCTATCCAAAGCCTTCGATTGTGTTCACCGTGAAATATTAATTTGGAAACTTCAACAAAACGGTGTAAGAACTGATGCTCTTAAATGAGTGATTTCGTATATAAGTTACAGAACGCGAAATGTTGTCATTAATAGTATGAGCTCTTCCGGGTCCCCTTTATGTTTCTTGTATATATTAATGACTTACCTTACATAGTAGGCGATAACCATAATAAAGTTTTATTTGCTAATGACACTTCATTAATTTTCAAATTAAAACGACAATTACTAAAATATGACAAAGTAAATAAATTATTTACATACTTTATATAAATTAGTAAATTAATTTAATGTTAATAATTTGCATTGAAATGGCACTAAAACGAAATGTATGAAATTCATTACTCCAATTGTCAAACATTTAAATACTAATGTAATTTTAAATGGAGACGAACTGAGCCTTGTGTGTACCACAATTTTTCTTGGAATAAAACTAGACGCGAAACTTCAATGGAGCACCATATATCAAAATTAGCAAAAAGACTTAGTTCTGCAGCATATGCTGTAAAAATATTAGAAATCTTACTAGTGTTGAAACAACTAGACTTAAGTATAGTTGTAGAAAATAGCTAAAGTAAACTAGCTATTTTCATAGCATATTATTATTTTGCTATGGAGACACGCGACTGACACTGAAATTATATTTGCTTTACAGAAGAGGGTCATAAGAGCAATCTATGATTTAAAACCTTAAGAGTCGCTCTGACAAAAATTTAAGGAAATTAATACATATATTTACTTTGGCCTCTAAATACATTTATGAAAATGTAATGTACGTACACAAAAATAAAAGTAGTTTCACAAAAATAAGTGATATTTATAATGTAAATACTAGGAACAGACACAAGTTGGTGGTACCAGTTCTCAACTCTACCGAGTCAGTAATTCATTCTTGGGGCTATATATACGCTTTTACAACAAAATACAAGAAAACATACAAAATTTGACCTCCCAAAGTTCAAAAACTTACTTGAACTATGTTTGTATAAAAAGGGTTATAATGATATTAAGGAAATTAGGGACGATAATAACCCCTGGGAATAAGGTGATCGCTACCAGGCTATTTCTAATTTGTTTCGTGTTGATAATTATGCAACATACATGGTTGTAAGCTGTATTTTTTTTTTAAATTCCCGCTTGGATTCTTGCTGGTTCTTCCCAGGACAGAGGTTTTTTTTCTAACCAGTGGTAATTAAACATAAGAGTAACTTTCAATAAGTATTGTTTATAATCTACATTGAATAAAAAAGTTTCTGTTTCTGTTTCTCTTTTTCAAACGGTTGGCAGTGTATGAAAGTAAAAATATGTCAATAACTGCTTACGCTAGATAATGACTCATTTCATGTCTTAAACTTCTTATTTGCATGCCGAAATTAATACTACTATATATTACGTAATTGCCAGAAATACAAGTTGATTTATAGGAGAAATCTGTATACACTAACATCATTATCGTAATGATTGTAGTGGAGTACCTAGTCATAGTAGGAAGATGAATATATTACGACAGTAGCCCAATGATTAAGGATGTGAACTGCAAACTCAGAAATTCGTAGGTTCAATTCTGCCATTAGACTCCTGTCGTAAACTACTCCCAACATAAGTATTTAAGCTTAGATGAAGTGGTGGTATTCTTTATGTAAAAGCAGATGTATAAATAAATATGCTTTGCAAACAAATTTAAATTAATTTGAAATAGTATGTTTTCGACAGCTGAAAACTACCGAGTTAGAAACAAAGGCCTAATCAGAGTTGTCTCGTACGTTTGCAATTAGCGTTTGAGTGAGACAGATTTTCCGTCTCTTGTATGAGGGCCGCCTATTGACATAGGCAGCTCTTGTTATCTACTACACGCTTACACGTATTCAAGCATTGCTACATTAATTTCATGCCCATTCATATACTGGAGTATTTGCCGTACACTTCTCAAATTTTCTTTTCTTCCATTTCATATTTACTTCTCATTAGTGGATACAATTACTTCATGCAGCTGTCAAATACTTAGGAAACTCTACAAACTATATTTGTTTTGTTTGGAATGTACAATAGTTTGTGACTGTCATTGTGTAGAAAATAGACAAATTATAGTATTATGTTACAGCTCAAAAACATTTACAGGATTTATTTTTAAGCACTTCTTTAATAAGTTACCTACAGTATTGCGTTTAGACACATTTAAAATAAGTAAAGACACAAAGACAGTATTCTTGATTGTTTTTTTTTTCTAATCTTTTAGTAATAAAAGACAATAGTAATCACAATTACATATTAGATACGTTAAGTACGAATATTTAAATATTTTTATGTAAGTACTAACTGTTCCCCGCGACTTCGCCCGCGTGTTATTTGGATTTTTAATTTTTTTGCGCGGAACCCTAATTCTTTTTCTAAAATAAAAGTAGCCTAAGTTACTCCTTGTGATATCAGCTATCTAAAAATCCCGTCAATATCGGTACACCCGTATCGGAGATTAGCCGGAACAAACAGGCAGACAGACACAAAGACAGACAAAAACTTTAAAAACTGTATTATGTTAATAGTACCGTATATACTTTCACATGTTTTTTTTTATAGGATAGGGTGACAAACAAGCATACAGTCCACCCGATGTCAAGTGGCTACTGTGACCCATAGACATCTACATCTATTCTCAATAAAGACTCAAGATGCAGATGCGTTGTCACCCGTGAAGACCAAGATGGAATGCCTCTTTGCCAGTAAAAGGGGTCTCCGGTTCTCTACACTCACCAAACGAAACACAGCAGCGTTAAGCTGCTATTTTACGCTGGTTTTCTGTGAGAGCGTGGTCCTTCCCCGGTCGAGTCGACCCATTCTTGCTACAACTACACTACTAATATAGCTGCAGCATGGCTCTAACACATCTAAATGTATTTAGTAAAAAGCTGTAATTTTGAAATTACAAACAGACACTTCAATCTTATTTATTTGTATGTATGTATAGATGAAACACATTTAATATATGTTCCCTGTAGATCAGACACATCAATTTCAATATTACGATAAGAGTAACGACGAGCCATCTGCGTAGTGTGGTTGCGCAAACACAGGTACACGCTCTATGCCCTCACTCTCATGATCCGATAGCACGACAAACTGACACGACTGGGGAAAGATTAGGTACAGGACCAATGGCTTTACGTAATTCCGAGGCACGGGTGTGAAACACCGCCAACATTCTGCTACTATTGAGAATTTCTGGTCAGAAACCCCTATTAACAAATGTTTGCCCGACTCGGGATTACTAGGGTCCCATGATCAGCTGTCGTACTTACGCCACTACGCCGACGAGATAGTCAAACGACGCGACGCTACGTTAAGAATTACCCACCTAGGGTTATAATTCTTTAGGACTAGGACACAACGCCTTGTTTCTTATTACCTATTCAGTCATCGATTCCTATCTTTCATTATTCGAAAAATTATATTATTATTATGCTATTTACGTTAGTATACTATGAAATTTTAGTAATTTCCTAGACATTTTGACGCCGCGTAGTTACACTGCAGTCTTATAGTTATAGCACAAATGGGTCGGCAGAACGAACTATGGTAACTTCCGCACATATTACTTGTTTGAAATAGCATCATAAGGCTCTACCTTTCGTATAATAATTAGTGACGAGAATCGAATACCCTCAACGTATCTGTATTTGATTCTTAATCAAGGATAAGTATAGATGTCTGTTATCTACTTACCATGAGGTAAACTAAGTGCTTGTTTGTCATTCTTGCTTATATAAAAAGAACATTCTAATCATTTTACGAGTATTTCAGTCAGTACCTCTTTTTATCATTAAATAACACGATTTCTGTAAAGTATTTGATTATTTTGATTTATTTTATTTAATACTGATTCCTTGCCTTCAAATCAAACTAAAATGAAGTCAACCTAAATTATTAAGATCTGGAACGAAGTTTTCCTCGTTCAATAACGGTATAGTCATGACACAGCGGGATGTTGCGATCGATGGACCCTATTCGGCTATGCAAATAGCTCTCAGTCTCATGGACATGGCGGATATCGTTGATATGTCCAACGTTTTTGCAAATTGATCTGAATTAGAGAAACGTTCACAATTTTATATGGATAGTTTTATTTGCAGACAAAAATGTTAGGTTTTATTATTGATCTGTTTCATAGATATTGCTATTTATTTGTATCTGGCAAAAACAACGCACAGCATAATATATTATTAGCAATACTCTTCTGTATATTATGTAAGTATTTTATATATACACATATTACAGTACTAAGCTAACTTTAAAAAATTAATATGTCGAGAAATTGGAAACAAGATCACTCACCCACAACGTGGATATAGGCGGATCGAACTTGAGTGTGGAACGACGGGGCGTCCGCGGACACTTCGCAACGGTAGCGGCCGGCTAAAGCGCGTGTCGCTTCACGTAGCACCACTTGTTGCGATGACGACTTGGATACCTAAGAAATAACGCTCAATTCAATTAAATCCACATTTTAAATTAATATAAAAATGGAAAAGATATAACGTCTTTGTCCGAATATATATATATATATATATGTGTGTGTGTGTGTGTGTGTGTGTGTGTGTTCGTGTGGTGTGTGTGTGTGTGTGTGTGTGTGTGTGTGTGTGTGTGTGTGTGTGTGTGCGTGTCCGTGTGCGTGTTTGCGTGTGTGCGTGCGTGCGTGCGTGCGTGCGTGCGTGCGTGCGTGCGTGCGTGTGTGTTTGTTAATTTCAGTTACATAATAGCAAATAAAACCATAAATGTTTATAATTAAACAAGGGGTTATATACTGCTGATATTGCTTCCGTGCACGAGCAGACTTGTGCTTACCAGTGGAAAATTTAAAGGCAGTACTAAACATTTAACAACGTTTAATTAAAAGAATTTAAAATCAATTAGCAGGAAACTAAATGTTTCATACTATTTTAATGGCAGTAATGGTTATATCTTCGGAATAGTGTCGGAAGGAAGCGGGTGGAAGACCGGTACTTGAAGTCCTTCAGAAGCTCTTTAATTCCGTCCTCCATGGTGGCATTACACCGGAGGCGTGGAGCAACGCTCTCTTGAAGAACTACAGACCGATTTCCCTTCTGAGCCGCGTCTACGTGCTGTTTTCGAGAGTCATTACGAATCGTCTCGCGCGCAGACTTGACGACTTCCAGCCTCCCGAACAAGCCGGTTTCCGAAAGGGCTTTAGCACCATAGACCACATACATACCCTTCGGCAAATTTTACAGAAGTCCGAATAGTACAATTTGCCACTATGTCTGGCGTATGTGGACTATGAGAAAGCCTTTGATTCCGTCGAAATTTGGGCGGTGCTGCAGTCCCTTCAGCGGTGCCAAGTTGACTGTCGGTATATCGAAGTGTTGAAGTGTTTGTACAGTAGAGCTACGATGACTATCCGACTACAGAACCAGAGTACGTAACCTATCCAATTGCAGAGAGGTGTAAGACAGGGTGACGTCATATCCCCGAAACTCTTCACCGCTGCATTGGAAGACGTTTTCAAGCTTCTGGACTGGAAAAGATACGGTATCAACATCAATGGCGAGTACATCACTCACCTTCGATTTGCCGACGATATAGTCCTTATGGCAGAATCGCTGGAGCTGCTTAGGTAAGCACTATGCTCAATGACCTCAATAGTATCTCCCAACGGATAGGTCTTAAGATGAACATGGACAAAACAAAAGTCCGGCACGCCCCTCCGCCTTTAGTAGGTAGTCCATGAGGATTTCCCCCCGTAAAAAAAAAAGGTAAGTCCAACTTCGACCGAGAGGTCAATCGACGGATTCAACTCGGCTTGCAGCGTTCGGGAAGCTACGACACATTTTCTCGTCAGACATACCGAAATTAAATTGTACAACCAGTGCGTGTTGCCAGTGATGACTTACGGAACTGAGACGTGGTCCTTCACGGCTGGCCGTATGAGGAAGCTCAAGGTCGCTCAGCGAGCTATGGAGAGGGCTATGCTCGGAGTTTCTCTGCGTGATAAACTCAGAAATGAGGATATCCGCAGTAGAACTAAAGTAACCGACATAGCCCAACGGATTAGTAAGCTGAAGTGGCAGTGGGCCGGCCATATAGCTCGAAGAACCGACAACCGATGGGGAAGAAAGGTTCTCGAGTGGCAGCCTCGTACCGGTAGGCGAAGTGTAGGGCGCCCCCCACGAGATGGAGTGACGACCTGGTAAGGCATGCAGGAAGTCGATGGATGCAGGTGGCTCAGGACCGTGCTTTGTGGCATTCCTTGGGGGAGGCCTATGTTTAGCAGTGGACTTGTGAAGGGCTGTAATGACGATGATGATGAATGGTTATATGGCTCTTATAAAAGAATTTGCAATTTTTTTTCGTAAACAAGGTTTACTTAGACATCTAGAATTTTTATGGACAAGCATGGCAGCAAGTTAGAAAACTTTAAAACAACTTAGATCAGATAGTTTTGTTACATTATAATTAATTTTGCTGGTAATTTTACTTAAAAATTAATTAAAATCAAATTAACTAACTACAATCAATTCTCTTTAAACTCAAACTATTACAACCTTTCTTGCACACTTCAATAATTTGACCGCAACTATCAACAGTTCAGCGGAACTCAAAGTAACGGGTCGTAATTAAGGCATATTTTTTCTCCGCTTCAATGTCCGGCAACATCCTGTGCTCCACTTTCATTTATTGATCCGATATTGGAAGGTAAGATTGGTGCCACCCACCACCCAATTTCCCCTCCAACTTGTTTACACTGACCACGCTTTTAGCTCATTTTAATTTCTCACGATATTGCCTCGCCTTTTATTATCTTCAGCGACAGCAGTTGAGTAAACCTCTATTGCCCTCTTTTATTCAGCGATCATTTTTATAACATCATGGAAAATACTTCGAGATTTTATGTTGTTTTTAAGTCTTTATATTTTTTTACCCTGTTTCAGTTTGTTTATTACACTTCCTGGCTGTCAAGAAGCTTTATATTCATTTTATATTAAATCGTTAAACGGCTAATTAATAAAATATTTTAATCTGCTTTTTGTATGTATTTTTTACAGGTTTTAAATAAATATGTTAATATAAATATAAAATACATCTAAAAGAAAAAAAAGATTGAATAACTGAAGAGATAATGTAAGGCAGCTTGACTGTCTCTTTGCTCTAATAGTCATAAGCACGACTCGTGTTCTCTATCAAGAAATTCGCAGTGGCAGCCCGGAGTCAGAAATTTGGCAGTGATAAACGAGCACACAGTCCACCTGACGATAAGTGGATGCTGTGGCCCTTAGATATCTACATTTGTACTCAATTAAGAATCAGAATACAGATGTGTTGTGAACCCTGAGTACTGATATGGAATGCCTCGGTTCATTCACCCACAGCAGCATTAAGCTGCTATTTTACGTCTAATAATACTGCGTGGAGGTCTACTGACTTAGTTAACGCTTATTATAATTATTACCAGAATTGAATTCAAATAAAAAAATATCGCCCCCGCAATTATAACACCTGATTGTGTTAGTATTTTCAAGCGATGTGATATCTGCACATTTGAACGAGTTCGAACCTGGGAAATCTAATAAATTGTTGGTGAATTATATCTACGGTTTTGGATGCTGTTGTCCATGAACATGTTTCTTTCTTGATATATCAAATAGTATGTTTTACCCTTATCAGCCGGGTATCTGCCCAGGTCATGGTAACACCTGCTGCCCTTCTCAAGGTGACTGAAGACAAATCAAATCTTCAAATCACATCAAATCACATATTCGTGTTAGACAGTGAGCGTATGGAAAATGATAAGCTGGAGCATTCTTATCTTACTAGGTTTTTTGACGCATTTAATTCTGTGAACTATATTGTCTTGGTAGCTTCTCTTTCGAAATTTCAGAAATGGTTCTAATCATAACTTCGAGGGAGTCGAAAGGCCATGCGTACTGTTCGTAATCTATCTAAGTTAAGTGATGTGTGACTTGGCATCTCTCAAGGCGGTATTATCCCTCCTCTTCCGTATACCATTTTTATCAATCTCATGACATTAAATTGCAACTGCTCTTATCACCTGTATGCCGATTTGCAGCTATATCCACAAGTGGAACCATTCAAAGTAAATAATGCAATTTTGTAACGAATCAACAATCGCAAGTTATTAATTATTATTACGTGGTAGAGCCAGTAGTATAGTTGTAGGACGAATGGGTTGGCTCGACCGGGGAAGGACCACGCTCTCACAGAATACCAGCGTCAAATAGCAGTTTAACACCGCTGTGTTTCGTACGGTGAGTGTAGAGAACCAGAGACCCTTTTTACTGGAAAAGAGGCATTCCATATTAGTCCTCACGTGTGACAACGCATCTGCGTTTTGATTTGCAAACGAAAATAAATGTAGATGTCTATGGGCCACAGCAACCACTTACCATCAGGTGGACTGTGTGCTCGTTTGTCACTCGATCCTGTAAAAAAAATATCTCTTAAAAGTCCACCGCATATGGTATCAATGTCAGCCCTCCTAAATGCCAATCGATAATCTTAGGTAGTTTGAGATTTTTTCCAAATTATATATTCCAACCTTACCATTAATCATGTTTAATAACAATGTAATACCATTCTCCACCCATATAGATAAAGAATCTCGGTCTGTATGTTGATATCCGCTTAAAATGGACTAAGAAACACAGCATGTGAGTCGCAAAACTACTGGAACTTTGCGATCCTGTTACTTTCCTTGAAATTCTTCCACCAAGAATTCAGTCTTATTCTTCCATTTATTAATTAAATCAATGTGTATTACTCGGGTCACACTGGTTCGTCGACTTAACAAGGGCTTGAGATATATAATATTTATGGTGTATGGAAATGTGACCATGTATTTTTTTTTTTTGTACTCATCTTATTTGACTGCTTATTTATCAACGCAGATATGTTAAACTACACTGCATCCTTTTCTCAATTCTGAACCACCCATGAGCTTTCGAGTATTTGAAATCTCAATTTAAATATTTGGGAGATTCTCATAATTGTTCTCTCCGTTCTTCGGGTAATCTTAAGTTGCTCGTACCAGTACATCAAACTGTTTACTTATTTCACTCATTCGTCCTCAGGGCAACGACAACGACATACTTCTTGACATTAAAATCTTATATCAGCTCTTAAAAAATATTTAAAAAAGTAATGTCAATGAGCATGTTAAAAAATCAAAGTCCACTGCTTAATGCACTGCGTATTACCATTTAAGGGGGATATTTACCATATTACCGTGGATAATTGTCACGCCCAGCAGGAAGATTGGTAACCACTGTTTTTATTTTCATTTTCTAGTTGTTACTATGAAAAGGCCGCTCCCCAGCGCCTGGTGATTCCCTCTGTCGCTTTTTACGACATCCACGGGACATTACGGACTAGGGGATATTTTTACAATATCACTAAATGGTTTAATATACATTCATTAAATAATCATTAAAATAA